TACAGAACCAGTAGCTCTTTTGGATATAACAGTAAAAACAGAACAAAACAAGTGGAACAAAATCTCTCTGTGATATGTCCTTACTACTATAAGTGCTCAGGTAGCCTTGTACCAGTGAAAGGAGTGGAGATATGGCTGTCAATGGCAATTTCCTATAGAGAACTTGAAATGAGAGACAGTAAATGTGTGAAAATAAACAGGGTTAAGGCCCTGAACTGCAGGCTGTGGAAGGTCGGTAGTTCAGCAGTTTGAGACCCGAGTTGCCACATGATGGAGTGAGCTCCCATCTCTGGCTGCATAGCTCCTGCCAACCTAGCAACTGAAAACAAGAAATTGCAAGTAGATAAATAGGTACCACTTCAGTGGGAAGGTAACAGCGTTCCGTGTGCCTTGGTGTTTAGTCATGCTGGCCACATGACCACGGAAACGTCTTCGGACAGCGCTGGCACTTCAACATTGAAATGGAGATGCAACCCTAGAGTCGGACTCGACTGGCTTTCGAGCAAGGGAACCTTTACCTTTACCTTTTTACATTTTTATTCTAGCATAAACTTTTGGGAACTAGAGCATAGGAAGGAACCATTACACACACACACACACACACGTAGAAGACCCATGAGAACATTGGGGGGGGGGATCCCATCACCCTACTGGTCCTTGCTTCCTGTATCTTGCTCATCCCATGACTGCCTCCTCCTCCTTTCTCCTTACCCTGCCACCACCTTCTTTTCTTTCCTCATTGCTGCCACATCGTCTTCTCCCCATAATCTTGCCCCTCCTCCTCACTGCTACATCCTCTCTCTCTCTGTGGCCCCACACTTCCTGCCAGCACTGTCTCCCTTTCCCCTGGCTGCTCCTTATTCTTGCTAGCAGCTCCACAATACTGACTGAGATCTCATGAGACCTCTGTCAGCATTATTTATAAAGCTCCAGTGTGTGAGCAGGTACACATATTGCTTTGCCACTGGGGGGGGGTTAACCCCCTTTTAAAACTTTTTTAGTTATTACATTTATTTCCTATAGAGGACTTGAAATGAGAGACAGTCTCTGGCCCCATGGCATGACAGTGAGGCCTGAATATAAGAACATAAGAGAAGCCATGCTGGATCAGGCCATTGGCCCACCCAGTCCAAATCTCTGTGTCACACAGTGGCCAAAACTCAAGTGCCATCAGGAGGTCCACCAGTGGGCCCAGGACTCCATAAACTTTCCCACTGTTTCCCCCCAAGCACCAACAATAGAGAGCATCACTGCCCCAGACATAGTGTTCCAGCTATACCTTGTGGCTAATAGCCACTCATAGACCTCTGCTCCATATGTTTATCCAATCCCCTTTTGAAGTTGTCTATGCTTGTAATGTTCAAAAGCAAGAAATTGCAAGTAGATAAATAGGTACCACTTCAGTGGGAAGGTAACAGCATTTTGTGCGCCTTGGTGTTTAGTCATGCCGGCCACATGACCACGGAAACGTCTTCCGACAGTGCTGGCTCTTCGGCTTTGAAACGGAGATGAACACCACAACCCTAGAGTCGGACTTGACTGGCTTTCAAGCAAGGGAACCTTTATGCTTGTAATAAGAACAACAGTGCCAAGTTCAGAATTAGCTATATGATACATGTGATTATAAAGCATTTCATGGCCTTGCTGGTTACAGCTGTTTTCATAATATATAGGTCTGTCTAATGAGGACCAATCACAAGTTTCTGACTGAGTGGGCTCTAGTCCATGAAATATATACTGGAATAAAAGCTTGTTAGTCTTTAAGGTGCCACAAATGTGATTTTTTTCAGAAATATGTGTCACCATTGATTACCATATTGTGGGGTTGCACAAAAGGCCACAGAAGGTGCTGCCTTACAAGACCTATTACTATCAGCCTAGCTAGATATCAGGGTGATTTTACTTGACACAGGTCACCAGATGAGTGGATGTTTACAAGCCTGACAGACTTTACAGGGGGAAAAGTGATAAAGATATTTTCTGGAAGATGTTATCATCAACAATAATAAAGGCCCAGGAAGCTGCAAGTTACACTCTAACAGTAGATCACAAGAGAAAATTGCTTTGCTTTGGTGATCTGTATAGTAAATCCAGAAGACTAAAACAGGGAGATAGATGCTTTCTTATACCGCCTGCATCATTCAGTCTTTTCAAGTTACAGCATCGCTAGTTCTGCTGTGTCGGGTCCCATCTGTAATGCTCCTATGAACAGCTTTCCAGTGTGCTTCACTCCTAACTCAATGCAATGCTTTTTGGGATATTTCTGGATCTGGTTTTGCTCCTGCATATTCAGGTAGTGCAGCAGCCCAGGATGCTCAGTTAAACAGATGCATTACTTGAAGGTACGGACCTAGCCACAGTCATTCCTCTTTGACTGATTTCCAGATTGGATTGCTTGCCCCAGGAAACAGGAGCAGGAAGCAGCAGACAGCCAGTTGCCCACGGGCCTGATAGGAGCCCTCCAGGGGCTGGATGCGGCCCGCGGGCCATATGATTGACACCCCTGATTTAATTTAACAGGTGTTTGTGTCTTGTATAAGGTGTTCCTATCTGGATTTTCTAAAAGGCAGCCCAAAGGTATTTCCAGAATAGGGGCAGCCTGGCTTCAAACTCAGAACAGAAATGTTGCCACTCCTTAATCATTATTATTTTGTCTATGCAGAAACCATGAGCTAAGACAGCTTTAAAAGGGAATTCATGGAGGATAGTTGTATTCAGTGGGCTACTAGCCAGGATGACTAAAAGGAACTTCCACATTCAGAAGCAGTAAAACTCTGAATACCAGTGCCAGGACGCAGCATTAGGGGAAGGTCTCAGCCTCTGCACCTTGTTTTTGGACCTCCAGAGGAACTGGACTAGATGGACCACTGGTCTGATCCAGCAGGGCCCTTCTTATGTTCGTAATGGTCTCGGTGGTGGGGGGGTGCCATTAACAGTCAATACAAAATGTCACTAAACAGTTACTGAGGGGGTCAAACTGGCATGCTTGTATGGCACTAGTTTCGAAACTCTTGCACTGGCTTCTAGCTAGTTTTGGGGGCTCAGTTCTAGGTGTTGGTTTTAAAGATCCAAATGGGTCCATCCTGATTAACTCAGGGCATTGTCTCCTCCCATGTGACAATCCTCAGTATTTAAGATCTGCTAGTGAGCTCCTGGATTCCATCTTATCTTATATGGAGAAAAGATTGTCCTCCATAAGAAGTAGTAGCTCTGGATATGTCCTCCCATTCTCCAACTAGGAAATGTGTTTGGCTCCCTATAATTCTTTCAAAGGCACTCAAAACATTCTTTTAAAAAAAATGCTTTTGGAGATCAGAAATTTCCATTCTTTTTATTACAGTTCTGCTGATTAAGTGGTTGATATTTTTAAGTCGGTGGGTTATGTTCTGGTTATAATTTTGTAAACCTCTGCAATTTTTAAACTGAAAAGTGGTGAACAAATTGTTTTAACTAAAGAAAGAAAAAACCCTTTCATCCATTATTGGCACTCTTTTTAACAGAGACTATAGACCTTTCCCAAAGTTACAGCAGATGCCCATACAATCTATGTAGGGTACACTTGATTATTTTAGATACGTGTTATTATGTTACATTCAATGTATGTAACAATGTATGTACAGCTGAATGTATGATACAAACCTTACATTTATCCAGATACTTGTGCCTGGTTTCAGTTGCAAAGTGAATGCACATTGGTTACACACATAGGATGAATATGCATTCACTGTAACATGAGAATATGAGCTTTCAGCCATCAAAACCTCCTAGGGCTCCCACCTGGCCACTTTTAAAGTAACTCAATAGCCTTCCCCACTTAGGGTTCTCCCCAGACATGGCTTCTGTTGTCAGCAAGAATGGTGGTGAAACTGCCAGTGTCAGTGCATTGCCATACTAACTCTCTTAACCACAATCCCT